AGATCTGTACAGGGGAGAGTTCACAGCTGAAGACCAGAATGACTGTGGCCACCAGCTGCAAAGGTGACTACGGCTTCTATACCCAACGACTTTCGTCTTCACGGTATCCCCATCCTCTATAGGACATCTGGGCACTTCCCGGGAGGCGGACCAATGAGCCATATGGGATCCCTGTTATAGAGCGTCGACACACGAGGTACCACGCGCCCTACGCTCCTCTGAGCCGCTTTAGACGGCTGATCCACTGACCTGTGTAAGGCACCTTTCGATACGCGGACAACCTCATGCATCACACCTCCGCGATGATCCAACACTCGCCCTGTGGCACGTGCCACTCGAGTCGAGGCGAGATTCACGTAAAGTTGTTCTCCGGGATTCTGTGGTGGTTGAAGTAGTAGAAACTGTGCTCTCGCGAACCGCCTCAGCCGTCACCTCCACTGCAGTCTCATCATCGCTAGGAGCACTGCTATTGACCAACACTGCAGTTGCTGCTGCCTGCCGGGCATACATCTGAGCACAGTCATTGTGGGCGCGCGATAGACTACGATGAAAGACCCCTTCCACTGAGGAGGACGAATGCTGGCGCCAGTGTTGGGATAAATGTGCGCTTTCCTCAATTGATTTCAAGAGTTTCCTAACTACAAGTTTGCATACGAATTCGGGTAGAAGTGTACAAAAAACAACGAAAATTCACCGGAATTCCCCCAGAATTTTCATATTGCCACCAACACATGTAGTTGACCATGTGCATATTTCCCAACCCCCACACTCGCTGTCGCCTACCCGCTGAAGCATCTCCCTCTCCTCCACAACAAGGTGACTGGGTGCTGGCCATCTGACAGGGCTAGGCTTCTCCGTGAACCACGGATGGTCCACCACACGACTAACACTTGAACGTTTTCGAGGGTCCACTTGCATGAGCCTAACACACAGGCCATCCCCTACAGTTCTACAATTGAGTCAACCCCCAAGGGCAATACGTGAGAAGCCAGCCTCGACTTACTTCAACACCAAATCCTTTGCTTCCCATGTGAGGTGTCGAGCACGAATTCGGGTAGGAGGCTACCGAAAATTCCTGATAGTTCATCGAAATTTTATGCTGTCATCCACAAGTGTAGCCGACCACGTGCATATCCCCCCACTCTCCAAACAAGCCTCTCCCCGGCCAAGACTGCAGTACTCACCTCGTGCAAGTGGCGATACCAGATAATGGCAGTGGTCATCCTCTGACCGGTCCATCAGTTCGAGAACATACCCATTGTCCCTCATCTTGGCCGCAAAGGTTACCTCCGATAGAGGCATCTCACAAAATTCGACATTACGATCACCCTAAGGGCAAACCATCGCGTTGGGTTGGACAGTCCAAGCCTCACCCTAGCCTCGTTTTGTATCCTGGAGAGCTCTCTTTTATGCAGTACTTTAACTGCATAGTCCCTCCCAGACTTCAACCCCCTCGCCTGAGCGCACCGCCCTTGAGATCATCCCACTAACATAAACAACCTACCCTATAGACGCCACCGAACAAGGCAGACTGAAGTTGTTCAATGAGCTCGTACACCTCCCCAGCCGAGCCATTCACGCACGGCCCCACAGTGACCCGTCCCATGGACTCTACTGGCAGCACCGGCGACTGTGTACCTCCTACTGCTGCGGGCCCTCGCACTGAGCCAATGGGCAGCATACTTCGGTCAATAGCAGCTATCAGACCTACCAGGAGGGGGACGGTAGCTGATCGGCGGCCGTGTAGTGGGCGGCTGATAGCCGGTCGGCCCATAAGACCTCACTGAGGGCGAGAAGGTATGCAGCTGAATCATCGAGGCCGACCCTTGCAGCATGAGATGGTAGGGGCGGGAGGACGGAGGAGGAGGAGGCGACAATAACATAGTATACACAACAGAATTCACTATAAAAAAACAAGATGCCCTCACAAAACGTAACTCTATCTGGCAACTACGACAACGGGTCATGATGCTCAATGAGTCTTATCACATCCCTCCAGTAAGGCGCTAAGTCCGTCAAAACCTCTTCGACACTCCATCCTTTAGTGGCAAGTCGCTCTCCGTATCTGCTACGATCCTACTGCGGTTGCACTATCATACAACTGCCTACTTCAAGACCAACGGGCTTATCCTAGCCAATACGGTGGGACTAGGTCCCACGCTCCGCCTTAGGTACTCGCGTGTGATAGTAGCTAACTCTAGCGGGGTGAACCAATTCTTGGAGGTGGCCTCGACCTGCAGAGTAATGAGTACTGCCCAAATGTGACTCTACCTCACAGCCATTGTGACAGCAGGTAGGGCTAAGGCAACCTTCCAGTCTGGCATGCCCATAGTAACCTCACCGTAGCCGTCCTCGAGAGGGTCGCCAGGGAAGGGCCAAAGCACATCGAATTCGATGAGAGGCTGAGGCCGCGACGAGGATATACTCCAAACGTGAACAAGGCTACTATGGCAGGCTCAGCTTCCATCGATAGTGACGAGGCCTCAGCGCCGTGGGTGTCAAACAGAAGTGAATATGCAATGTTCTCCTCTCCAAAACCGCGCACCTTCAAAGGGACAATACACACAACAGGACAGACTGCTCCTACATAGTGAAGGGCGTGGTGCTTCGGTATGAAGAGACATTCACCAGGCTGGAGAGTCGTATTGGACCATCGGGCTTTGACAAACTCGGGCCATCTGAACCACACTGCTGTAGCGAGCGATGCCAACATGATGACAAGGCGGGTCATCGTACTTTCCAACATCAACTCTCTCACCGTCAACAGGACTGTCATCTGAGCCCACCACCTCCACAGGGGAATGGTAGTGCCTACCAATAACCCATGAGGGCGGTTATGCATGCAACAAAGCGGAACCATGCAAGCACTCTCACGACGCTACTATCACTACACTGCACTGAGCAGACCACAATCCCTCATCCCACCGTGTGTAGACCTGGGCAGAATAGCCCCGCCATAGCGTTCTACAGACAAGTCGACCAGAGGCCAGGTGATAGAAGAATAGGATATTCACCATTACTAATAGAACAATACTCACCCCGACCACATAGGTATCTTATCTCTCTCCCTCCGCATTTCCCACACTATCCACTGCCGGCTCCCCGACACCTGAGGCCACGACCAGCACAGCTACGGCGGGGCCTTTCGTAAGAGCCTAACCTGGCACATCACTTGGTCATTCATATCATAGTGGATTGCGGAGGAGGTAAAGGAGGACGGTGGGCTAGAACTAACCCACAGCCCCAACTCGGTCAGGAGGGTCCTCCGGTTGGCCCTGGCATGGTGCATGGCTGGACACTGACAGCCACCTCATCTACCCTTCTAATGGATCCCGATACCCTCCAGCAACGAACGATGGCGCGAACAGATCCGTAACGAGGTTAGCAGGAATCTTGCAAAAATAAATATGGGGATAATCAAATCCACTCTGGG